CCATCCCTTAACACCCTAAAAGCATTAAGCCCTAAATACCCTAAACCCTAAACCCTAAACCCTAAACCGCAACGCCACACTTGAAACCCTGGCAGGTTCGATGCCCTGCAGGCTCTCCACGTCGGAGCTGCAGGCTGGAATCCCTAAACAGGGTTTGGGGTTTAGGGTTTAGGGTTTAGGGTTTCCCCAACCCTAAACCCCAAACCCTAAACCCGGTTTGGGCTTTCCTTGCATTTCCCCAAAAGCTTCCACCAGGTATTTAAGAGCCTCCGGCTCAAGCCGCCGACCCCGCTGGAGCATAGTTGAGACCCGCTCGCATGGGAATCGTTTGGGGGGGGGTAGGGGGTAGCACCAGGACAAGCTCAAGCCAAAAAGACAGGTGGGTGGGGGTGGGGGGGGGGGGGGGGGGGGGTGGGGTTGGGGGGGGGGGGGGGGGGGGGGGGGGGGGGGGGGGGGGGGGGGGGGGGGGGGGGGGGGGGGGGGGGGGGGGGGGGGTGGGGGGGGGGTGTGGGGGGGGGGGGGGGGGGGGGGGGGGGGGGGGGGGGGGGGGGGGGGGGGGGGGGGGGGGGGGGGGGGGGGGGGGGGGGGGGGGGGAGGCGGGAAACGCTGATTTTGCTGAGGGCGCCCCTACCCCCCCGTGCTGAACCCCCTGTTTACGCTGTGCGGGTGGCGCGGTCCTCCACGAAAAAATTGTGCACCGACCCCCCCCACACCCCCCCCCCCCCCCCCCCCCCCCCGCGTTTTGGGGGGGTAAGGAGGGAAAGAGGGAGGTTTCACCTCCTTTTCCCATCCAACACGCCGCCAGGGTCGGCGGATCCTCACCCTGTCCCCAAGAACCCCAAAACCCGAAACCCCAAACCCTAAACCCCAAAACCCGAAACCCTAAACCCAAGCCCTGAACACTAACCTAAACTCCAAAACCCTAAATCCCATAGCCCCAAGCCCCAACCTGGCTGTCCTAAACTCCCAGAGCCCAAGCCCTACACCCTAAATGCTTATGGAACCCGTTGTGAGCATTGCAGTGTTGAGTTTTGGAGCACAAAGAGACTGAGGCGTCACTTGAGTTGTGTCGCATCATGCAGAGCTTGTTACGAAGAAGCGGATTTCGCTCGCCGGGAAACAATCTCTACAGAGGACACTGCTTGGAGACCTCCCGCATCGACGTTTGGTCCACGGCCTTTTTGGGCTTGCCTCTCCCCAGACCTCCCCGATCCAGTTGACGCTGACGCAGTGATTCCTTCTAATGCTGCTGTCAGAATGCTTCATGAGCTGATTAGCACATGTGGAAGCAACGTTGGCGTTGAGCAGTTCTTTAGATCTGTGTTGGTTTGGGTTCGAAGGTTTGGTGGTGAATCGGAGGGCATTGTCAGCTGTCACCGGCACCCCTGGCTTGATCTCATTGAACTAGCTTCTCTGCTTCAAGCCTCCAACTTCGTGACAACAGAAGATGGTGTTCGTGTTGGTGCTTTTCGTGCCGTTGCTGATGGATGCCGAATCCGGCTTCGCATTCAGGAAGCTTGAATTGCAAGGCAGAATTCATGCGCGCACTACGGACCTAGCAACAACGAAACAGAAACAGAAACAGAAACACCCTAAACCCTAAACCCCAAACCCTAAAACCCTAAAACCCTAAACCCTAAACCCCAGGGAGCACCTCTTTTCTTCATCAGGATCCTGCTGTAAGGATCCAGCCCTAGAACGTTAGTCCCTAAAGTCTGTCTGGGATTCCTAAGAATGGGAGGTAAACCCTAAACCCTAAACCTTGAAACCCTATTATACCTTAAGAACCAAAAGGCGACTTTTTTGTAGGTTATCTAGGAATCCTGGAAGGGTCTTTACATAAAGAACCTACCCCAAAAGGTAGGTGTTGGGGTTCTTAAGGCCCTAAACCCGAAACCCTAAACCCTAAACCCTATTAATCCCTGAACCCTAATCCTAAATTACGGTATGCGTGATGTTAGGCTGTCCCCACCCACCCTAAACCCTAAGGTCCTAAACCCTAAACCCTAAACCCTAAACCCCAGGAGCGCCCTCCTGGACGCCAAAGAAGCCGGGCCTCGGGAGCGAGGGCTTGGGGTTTAGGGTTTAGGGTTTAGGGTTTAGGGTTTAGGGTTTAGGGTTTAGGGTTTAGGGTTTAGGGTTTAGGGTTTAGGGTTTAGGGTTTAGGACCTTAGGGTTTAGGACCTTAAGAGCCCAAAACTTGGACTTGTTTTGCAGGTTCTTGCTATACATTCCCATGTAACCTACACAAAAGCAGCTTTTGGGGTCTCAAGGTAGGATTTGGCTTTAGGGTAGTAGGGTCTTGCCGTATTAGGGTTTCGGGGTTTTAGGGGTAGTAGGGTTTGGGGTTGCGCGTCCGGGGCTCGTGTCCGGAGTTTCTTTAGCTTGCTGTGGCAAGCACAAGGGCATGTGTCGGTCCTTTTGAGTTTGTCAAGACTGGCTGGGTCTCTTTGCATTTCAGGAGGGGAGGCTTCCTTTGTGAGCCCAAGTTCACCCCTAGATTAGGGGGCTCCGAAAACGGTTTTTTTGGGGGGTGTTTAGGCGGGGGGGTCCTTGAACAATGATGATCGTATCTTTGTGTTCATCAGGGATCCCTTATGTTGAGAATATACACGACATATACACATAATGTCTATAACAATCCTAAATGGGGATTCTAGTACCCCTACTATGATCCGTATTGAGGACTGTTAGTAGAAAGGGGAAACATCGCAAGTTTAGGGTTTAGGGGGATTTAGGGTTTAGATTGTAGACTGAAAGGGTGGGGGGAAGGAGGGACCCTCAACTCTGCTACCCTTTCTGACCCAATATTATGTATGCCTCATCTAGATAAGACATGCATATTCATCCATATACATACAAGGCAAGGTTAATCGCACAGGTTAATCGCACTGTTGTAGGTTAATATGGCTCCTTGAAAAACAGTGGCTAGGTTGTGTAGTGTGAACAATACTACTTGGTTCTTGGTAGGAAACTTGTGAATCAAGTTCCCTGTTCCCTTAAGAAATCTCTTCTATCAAGGGGTCCTCAGGCACCCTCCTGACGTTCCCTAGATTTAGATAGTTCCCTTAAAGGCTTCCCCAGAAAGGATCGGATGTACCAACGCAAGGGGATGTACCAACGGAAGCTCCCTGTATCATACAGTCCCCGAGGGTTCTCTGTAGGGGGATCGCAGGACCCTAAACCCTAAACCCTAAACCCTAAATAACCCTAAACCCTAAACCCTAAACCCTAAACCCTAAACCCTTCATTCCCAAGTAGTCAAAGAACGGGGGATGCTCAGGATTTTTTCCCCGATCTCGGGGTGCCAGCCCCAGGGGTTAAGAGCTCAAATTCGGGGTTTAGGGTGTGGGTTTAAGGTTTAGGATTTAAGGTTTAGGATTTAGGGTTTAGGGTTTAGGGTTTAGGGTTTAGGGCAATGGTCTAGGTAGGGTTTCGGGTAAAGCAGACATTTGACACTCGTGTTCCGGTGACGCTGAAGACAGCAGAAATGCGCACATGATTCCAGGGCTTCAGGTTCAGGATTGGGGGTATAGGGTTTAGGGTTTAGGGTTGAGGGTTTAGGGTTTAGGGTTGGGTGGTAAATCTGAACTCCAAACCCTCCAGACTCCATCTGAAATCCCTAAAACCCTAAGCCCCAAAACTCCTAATACCCTGTACTTGCCCGAAACCCCTAAAACCCTAAACCCTAAACCGCAGGTTCAATCCCTGAGCCCCTGAATCCTCAAAACCGTCAACCCCTAAACCCTAAACCCTAAACCCTAAACCCCTAAAAACCCCAATAAAAACCCAAAAAACCGTCGAAGCCTCCAGGAGCACGGCCCGAGTGCATCGCCAGCGCAATGCAAAGCTCAGGCTCAAGTACCTTCCTGAACCCCTGGGTTTAGGGTTTAGGGGGTTTAGGGGGTTTAGGGTTTAGGGTTTCACCCTAAACCCTGAGCTCTACTCAGTGACTACTTACTAAGTCCCCCGACTGTCCAAGTAAGCCGCAGACTTGCAGCCTTTTTGTTAGGCCTGAGTTAGGCTAAGGGGTTTAGGGTTTAGGGTTTAGGGTTTAGGGTTTCGGGGTAGTTTCATGGTCCTTCAGTATGGTCCCTTTAAAGGGCACCCCTTCTGTACCCCTTATGATTCTTCAGAACCTTTAAAGAGGGACCATATTCAGGGCCTATGATACCCTTAGAGGTTTCGGGTTGAGGGTTGAGTTTAGGGTTTAGGGTCTTTAGGGTTTAGGGTGTAGAGTCAAGAAGATGATCCCTTCTGGGATCCTTCTTATAAGGCGGCCCGTCTTATCTAGGGATGCCCAACAAGGGACCAGAGTTTTGAGAAGCCCTAAACCCTAAACCCTACACCCTAAACCCTAAACCCTAAACCCTAAACCCTAAACCCTAAACCCTAAACGAAAAAGATAAATCTCCCGAACCCTAAACTTAAGCAACAAAAACATGGGGACAGCACTTCAGATTGTGACTCCAGCTTCAGGCGGATGGCGAAGCAGTCCGGGACCTTACACCCGGGTTTTGGGGTTTAGGGTTTAGGACTACTGCTTGGAGGTTCATTTGGGTAGGTATAAGTAGGGTTATAAGCATGTTAGCTATACTTATATCCCTACTTGGGGTACTTATAACGCGACTTGTAGATTCCCATGAACCTCCAAGCAGGCTTTTCGCGTTTCGGGTCGAGGGTCCTTTGCGCTGAGGGGAAAGGAAAGGCTTGCTTGACTCAGTGCACGCCCCGGCCCGAGTGGGCGGACATGCTTCATCTGCTGCGTGAGTTATGAGGACGAAATTCTGAATTCGCGCACCTGTTGATGTAAGTTCCGTGAAGTGCGTGCTCGAGTGGCAAACTGACTTTTCCTTAGCCATCCGTTCACGTACCTTGCCATGCGCTGGCAGCCTTCGGACAGCTCATCATATGAAGCGCTCAACCGAAGGCCAAATACCAATGTCTCCGAGGACAAAAATACCGAGGGCGTCCATTACACCCTTTTCATCGTGCAATTCATGCAACAACTTGCGTTTGCAGGAACCATAGTTGATTCCTACCAAATCGGCAACTTCTTTGACGTCTCGCCTGCATTTTCCGGTCTTCTGGTTGGCTTGTTCATGGCAGGCGGGGGTGTAGGAACTTCTTGCATGATGTTGGTCCTGCAGACAAGGCCAAGCGCATGGAAGAGCTTCCGGGCCATTGTGCTGGGTTGCCAGGTCATGGACACATGTGCAGTTCTAATGTACACCTTGCTCCTGGTTCTGGCTGTTAACGTGCAGTTGCCGTCAGCGTGGATCTATTTTCTTGCGGTGACGCGATTTGCTTGGGGCCTGGGACCAGGAGTGACGGGACAGCTGGCAGGGGTGACCATCACGAAGGTTACCCCGCCACATGAGATAGTTGAAAAAATGCAAAGCTTGCAGTTTTGGCAAACGCTGGGCTTGGGCTTGGGGCCCTTCATTGCCGCGCTTGCGATCTTTGCCCAGGGTGCTCTTGGGGCCTCGGCCCCTTACAGGTTGTGCGCAGCTCCCGCTGCCCTTGCCAGCCTTCAGATCTCATCCACCTTCATTCTCTGGAAGCTGTGCCCCGATTCTGTGGAGGAGTGGTCCTCTGGTGGGAAAGAAGGAACATCCTCAGGCCCTCAGAGGCACTCAAGCAAAATCCAGCAGCTTCTCTTCCTCATCTCATGCTTCCTCCTTTGTGCTCTCCGCGGCTACGCAGTGGCTGGAGCGGAAGTCGGCACCGCCATGTTCCTTGGTCCCCTAAAGTTGGGACCATATACCCTATACTACTATAATCCTGATTAGGGTCTATGAACCATAAACCCTTTTAGGGTTCATTTGGCTCTCAAGGTTGCTGGAAGTGCCGTATGGATGGAATCGGCATTCCATTGGCTTCTTGGTGAGCGGAGCCTTCTTGGCAAGCATACCTCTCCGATCGGTGTACTTCAGTATCAAGGGTTTGTTCAGCACCATTGAATGGATACGCATCCTGTCCGTGGTCGCTATGGCTGGTACACTGCTTCTATTCTCGAGGGTTGCCTTGATTCCGGATGGGCTCATGCTTGTTGGCGCTGATGCCATCATGTTTCCCTCCTTGTACCTAGCAGAGGGATTGACAAGGGGCTTGATGTTGCAGTTCGCCAAAGACAGCACCGTGCTCTCAAGCAACCAAGCGTCCTTCCTCGCCATCGTCTTGAACAACTGCGCTCGCACGGTGGCCCCCTGGCTTTCCAGAAAGCACATCTCCACCGGCGACCCTGCTGAAGGGCAAGACTTATTTGCCACTGGGCAGCTACTGTCCTGCGTGTTGTTCCTGGCCATCTTCGAGCTCGGCATCCGGCATATGTTGGACGCGCCAGTCCTTGTCATCGGCTTGCCGAGCTTGAACGAAGCTAGGTATCGATTTGGGATCCTTTTTAAGTTTCCCTTATTGCTTAATATTAGGAGCCCGAATAATGCACAGTTTTGCTGTGTTGTGCTTTGGAACAATTATTAATTTCCCTTCTTTCCTTATAAGGGAACCTTTTCATAAATAATTTACAAAGGGTTTAAAGCACAACTCAGTTTGGGGACTGTTGAAATCGACGCCTAGGAAGCTGACAACATCGAGGCCGTGACGAAGGTGGTGGATGCAGGTTGCCGTCAGCACTTCCCGAACCACCGCTGCATACTCGTCACTTAGGGATACTTGGAAATATTTTTGCTAAACATACTTTTTGGGCACTTTAATTCCTAAGAAACAGCAAACATATTTTTTGGCTAGGGTTCGAAGTTCAGTATAGGTCAATGCAGACTGCCAAAGCTCCGACGGCACCTCGGACATCTTTGCCCAGACTTCGACGCATTCTCAGAAACTTGGTAGCCCAGCGGTACCCGGGTTTAGGGTTTAGGGCTTAGGGTTTTTTGTTTTTTTTGGTTCAAGGTTCCCTTTTAAAGCAATCAAACCAAAAAAGGTTGCCCTTATTCTAATGTGATAGAATATGGTTACTGGGCTACCAAGGAAAGTGGTGCTGAGGACTGCCCTGCCGGCGCAGGGAAAAGGCGCAGCATTGAGGCTTGTCTTCGAATACATGCTTCAGGTGGATGCCGAGTTTGGGCTTTGCCTCTTAGTAGCTGAGCGAGCACACTTTACACCTTTTTGGGATACCCGAATCCCCTATAGAACTGAAGGTGTGCACTTTTTTGGGGGGGGTTATGAACTCAGCAACTAAGGCCTCGACACCGACGTGACGAGCATCACACCAGACTCTTAGTAGCTGAAAGTGCGCACTTTTTGGGGGCTTATGACCTTAAACCCTAAACCCTAAACCCTAAACCATAAGGACTGGATCAAGAGCTTCAGCCTGGCGCTGCCCTACGACTTCGCGGCGCCTCGCTACGCACGCCACCGCCTTGCTGCTAGGATGCCCACGAGTACCCTTATTCACCTTTTTTGGGGGGGTTTAGGCTCCCTTGTAAACCCCTTTAAGCAAGAAAGGGCACCCTTGTTAATCCTAGCTTACTGGGCAACCCAGGATGGATTCATCACGAACCTCCTGATCTACCCTAGCATTTGCGCAGTGTTCGGTTGCGATGTGCGTCAGGGCATCGGAGGTGACTTCGGATTCAGTCGCCGGGCTGCAGAGGCATTCTTGTCAAAGCCCTGGCATCCGAAAGTTGAGAAGTACGGCATTGACATCTTCATGACCACCACCGTGCTGAAGAAGGGCTTCTCCATTGGGGAGGTGGAGCTGCCAGCGAAACTTACTGTTGGTTAGTACGGACTGAGGGATAAAGGGTACCCTATATAATCCCTTAAAGGGTCTTTTTGGGGGGGGGAATTAGGGTACCCTATAGAATCCCTTAAAGGGTATATATATATATATAGGAAACTATGTAGGGTACCTCATTCCCTCCCTCCTAAGCAACAGTAAGGAAAGTCCACAGCCCAAGCCTCCCGAAGCTGAAGAAGATGCTTGCTTCGCCTTTAGTTGGACTTTAAACTTTTTGGGCTTCCTTATTTAGTAGAATATTAAAGTTCTCAACCCCTCAACCCTCAACCCTAAACCCTAAACCCTAAACCCTAAAGAAATAAGGATGTTCATGGAGGTCGCCGAGGTCCTACTCTCGCAGCTCCAGGGAGAGACGCTTGGAGTAGGCCCCCCCCCCCAAAAGGGTTTAGGGTTTAGGGTATTTTTCTTATTGGGTTTAGGAGGACCATCTTCAGGAAGATTTGTTCAGAGGGTCTCACCCCCTAAGCCCTACACCCCAAACCACAAACCCGAAACCCCAAACCCGAAACCCTAAACCCTAAACCCTAAACCTAGGAGCTTCTCCGGCGACCTGCAAGCGCTACCCCGCGTCTCCTTGCAGCTCCACAAGCACCAGATCCCGGAGCTCAAGGCTTGGAAAACTAAGATGCCCAGTAGTTCCCTTGTTCCCTTGTTGGGGGCTATAGGTTCCCTGATAAACCCCTTTAAGCAAAATTTGGCACCCTTTTGGTTCCTAGGTTACCAGGCAACCTAGAAAATGTGAATCCAAGAAGGTTCCGTGTTCGGTAGACACAGGGGTTTCGGACCCCAATTTTGTGGGGCGCTTCCATTTGTTCATGTGCCTTCTGGCTTTTGTTGCATCTTGAGTCTTTGAGCTCCGTGTCAGTCATCCATTATTTGCTCAAAGAACCCCCAAGAATTAGAAGATAACAATCCTTATATATTGCCCTTCTAAGGGAGAAGATTTTTATTTATTTTTTTTGGGGGGGGGTGGTTGGGGTGGTTGGGGTTGGGGCCTTAAGCAAGTCATGGGAGGTGGATTCTGCTGCTTTGCTGGAGCTTGCGGAAGAGTGCTTCCAGGAGAACGAGCCGCGCATCCTGGAGGCCCTGGCGCCATGCCCCTCCTTCCAATCCGCCCTGGCCGAGCGGGCGGTGGACGGCGACACCTGGGCGCAGTTGGTGCACTGGGCCCTTACTACGAAGGCTTCGGAGGCCCCGGATGTTTTGGAGACCCTGAGGTGCTTCTTCTTCCTACGTGCGGCGTCCCACTGCGGGGACGTCAAGCACCTCTCCAATCCAGATGCCGAGGAGTTTGTGAAGAAGCAGAGGGACCACGTGGTCCGCCTCTGCCGTGAATCGGGGCTCTGAGGGCTCTTGCACCCGCCCTGCCAACCCAGCCCCAGTCCCCCAGCAGCCCAGCCTCCAGCCCCAGCCCCCAAGCCCCAGGCCCAGTCCCAGCTTGGAGATCCCAATTTTAGCTCTGAGTCCTTCATTCCTCGCCCTGACGAGCTTTGAGTTTTCCGTGCCCTCTTATACTTGACCAGTTTTCGAGATGTATACAACATAGTAACTCAGGCCTCGTACAAATGTTTCACACAGGTCACACCCACTCGCTGGATCAGATTAGATCCTCATCCTTGTCAGGGGTGGGGTGTACAGATCTTCGCATTGACATGAGCAACAATTCGGACTGCATACCTATCTGCTTCAACAGCACAAAAGATAATCATCCCTATATTGCCCTTATAAGGAAGTATTTTGACATGTTTTGTGTGGTTCTTAAGAAATCAGTAGCAAACCCTCATCCCTAAACCCTCAACATCAACCCTCAACCTTAAACCTTAAACCTTTATATAAACCCTTAAACCCTTGAACCCTAAACCCTAAACCCTAAACCCTAAACCCTAAACCCTAAACCCTAAACCCAAAACCCTAAACTGAACCCGAGGCCCAAGCATTCCGCTCCCAGGCTGGCCGCCCGGCTCGCGGCCACGGAGCCTCCGCCGCAGCCGACGGTGAAGGCGCCAGCGCTTTAGGGTTTAGGGTTCAGGGTTTAGGGTTTAGCGTGTAGGGGTGTAGGGGTTTAGGGGTTTAGGGGACCTCGCTAAGTATGTTAACCAGTTACAGGCCACCGGTTCTTCCCAGTAGGCTTGGGTTTTTTCAGGGTTTTTTGAGGGGGGGCTTGAGGGTTCTTAGTGTTTTGAGGGTTTTAGGGTCTGTTAAATTTTGAGGGCTTTAGGGGTTTGAGGGCTTGGGGCGGTTTTAGAGTTTTAGGCCTTTCGGGTTTTAAGGGTTTTAGGGCTTGCAGGGCTTTAGGTTTTTGAGAGCTTGTTTTAGGGTTTTAGGGCTGTTTGGGTTTCTTTAAGGTTTTTCGGTTTCGTTGTGTGTGCGTGCGTGCGTGCGTGCGTGCGTGCGTGCGTGCGTGCGTGCGTGCGTGCGTGCGTGCGTGCGTGCGTGCGTGCGTGCGTGCGTGCGTGCGTGCGTGCGTGCGTGCGTGCGTGCGTGCGTGCGTGCGTGCGTGCGTGCGTGCGTGCGTGCGTGCGTGCGTGCGTGCGTGCGTGCGTGCGTGCGTGGGTGGGTGGGTGGGTGTGTGTGTGTGTGTGTGTGTGTGTGTGTGTGTGTGTGTGTGCGTGCGTGCGTGCGTGTGTGTGTGTGTGGTGTGTGTGTGTTGTCGTGTGTGTGGGTGTGTGTGGTTGTGTGTGTGTGTGTGTGGTGTGTGTGTGTGTTGTGTCGTGTGTGTGTGTGTGTGTTGTGTGTGTGGTGTGTGTGTGGGTGTGTGGTGTGTGTGTGTTTTCGGGGGGGGGGGGGGGGGGGGGGTTGTTTTAGGAGGCGTGTTGATGTAAAACCTGGTGGTTTCATGTTTGTACGTATATATATATATATAGGGTTTAGGGTTTAGCGTTTCGGGTTTAGGGGTTTAGGGTTGAGGGGTTGAAGGGTTTTAGGGGTTTTGGGGTTTAGGGGTTTAGGGGTTTAGGGGTTTAGGGGTTTAGGGGTTTAGGGGTTTAGGGGTTAGGGTTTAGGGGTTTAGGGTATGGGGTTTATGGTTTAGGGGTTTAGGGTTTAGGTTTAGGGTTTGGAGATAGCAAAAACTAGATTTGACGCGTCCTGCTGTTCAACACATGACAACCACAGTATGCCCAAATCGCTGCACATGACAGTAGATTGGCCTCTAGCATGTCAGAAAAGAGTGCTCGGCACCAGTTTTTTTATCAACATGTGACCTTGTTTTAGGGCTTTAGGGTGTTAGGGCTTACTATGGGCAAGGGCAACGCAGGGCTTCTAGGGCTCTTGCAGCTTTAGGGCTCTAGATCTTTTGTGCTTTCAGTTTTTTGCTGTATGGTTTAGGGCTTTGTAGGGTTACGGCTTTAGGGTACACCAGAGACTTCTTTTATGTAAGTGGGGTTTGAGATGGCTTTGAATGGCTTCATGGGTTAGGGTCCGAGGCCTTGGGGATGTTTCTGACCTGCGGCCGGGGCCGGACGGAAGTTGCACACATCGGCACCGAAACCCTAAGCCACACCCAGTTCCGAACAAGGCCTATTAGGGTTTGTAGGGTTTGTAGGGTTTAGGGTTCAGGGTTCAGGGTTTAGTTAGGCCCTAACCCCCTGAACCCTAAACCCCCAAAGCCTTTTGGGGTTTAAGAGCCCACGGCAACAGGTGGTCGATGCACCATTGCGCATGCACATGGTAATGAAGAAGCCGACCCTAGACCCTAAGGTTTAGGGTTTTGGGTTTTGGGGTTTAGGGGTTTAAGGGTTTAGGGTTTAGGGTTTAGGGCACGCCTGAAGGGTCCCCCAACTCCAAGGTGCCCCGGGCAACGCCAAGCCCGCGGCTGACGAACAGCGCACTGAGACCCGGCTGCATGTGGTCCCTAAACCTTAAACGCTCTTAAACCCCAAGGGAATCGGGTTTAGGGTGGGTTTTCCTAAACCCTAAACCCTAAACCCTAGACCCTAAACCCTAGACCCTGAAGGTTTTGGAGGTTAACCGAGTTAGAAGTCTTAGAGTTGAGGGCTTCGGCTCCATGCTACATGCGGGGCCGATGCAGTTCCTTTTCTAAGAGGTCGGGTTTAGGATTTAGGTGAAAGAGTTTAGGGTAAAGGGTAAAGGATACTTTTTCGGTAGGGGCAGTGGTTTTGAGTTTTGAACGAACTATTTGAGCAGAAGGGCCCTGGGCCACTCCGCCCTTCCCCTCCTTTCCAGATGAGTTTGGCAGCGGTTTAGGGTTCAGGGTTTGGGGTTTAGGACTTGCGGCATACTTGAGCCCATGATTTGCCATCAGCAGACCCTGCAGAATCGATGGCCAAAACAATTCACGCAAGATTAGTGAGGGGGGGCTCAAGGTGGGCATGTAACCCAAGGTTCCCTCATACCCCCCCCCCCCCCCCCCCTACTCTTTAGGGCTCCCTAAGGTTCACGAGGCACCTCCCCCCTGTGGAACCCCTCCCTTAAGAACCCTGTAATTTCTCCAAATCGGTGTCAATGTGGGTAGGTTTCTCCCAGTATAAGGGTGCCGCCTTCTATACGGTACCCAAAAATGGACCCTAATTTAGAGAATCACCCATGTACCCCTAATAGTAAACACCCCCATATACCATAATATAAGCATAATGGGGGGGTATCTATTCTTAGGTGGTAGGGGTGGTTTAAAATTAGGTGGAGGGGATGAAATTAGATCAACCCAACCAATCGCTTTAGGCCTTTGGCCGTTGCCAAAGCCCTGTCCATGCTGCGAGAAGACAAAGGCTGTGGGCTGGGAGCCTGGCGGTTCCAATTTAGGGCTTAGGGTTTAGGGTTTAATTGGGGTTTAGGGGTTTAGGGTTTAGGGTTTAGGGGGTTCCGGGTTTAGGGTTAAGGGGGTTTAAAGTTTAGGGTTCCGGAAGATAGGGGGTTTGGGGGTTTAGGGGTTTGGGTTGAGGGGGTTCAGAGGGGTTTAGGGGGTCTAGGGGGGTCAGGGGGCCTAACTGTCGCAGTTAGAATAAACATTCTCCGAACGTATCGCACACTTCTTACCGCCATAACATACCCCAGAGAGCCTCATGCCCCTTCATTATTATACGGAATCCTCATATGCTTACCGTAAATACATTTTTTTAGGAGTATCGGCCTACACCTGATGTACGGGGGAATTTTGCTTGCCGGGTTCTCTCCTATGCAGAAACCAA